GGAAGTGGGGAGCAGGGAGGGAGGGGTAAAATGAGGAGCTGATGGCAGGGGCTTGGATGGAGAGCAAATGTTTTGAGAATGATGAGAGCAATGAATGTACAAATGTGCTTTACACACTTGATGTGTGTATGGATTGTGATAAGAGTTGGATGAGCCCCTAATAAAATGATTTAAAAATAATAATAAAATAAAATGCAGCCTGTGCAAAATATAGAAAACCATGCCATCTAGCTGGTGGGTGGGGGTCGAGGGGAGGTAGAAACAGCATTCAAAAATGAAGTTAAAAATTAAGCCCAACCTCCCAAAAAGCAATGAGAAAAATTGAAATGCTTGGAGTATTTTCATTCCAACTTTTTTTTTTTTAATCCCCCAACGGAAATGCTAGAGTGATCTGTAAGATTTGAAAGATTCAAATTCTTCTAAGGTTTCTGTCCTGGGATTCAAATACCAACTAAGATGCTCCATAGCTTCGGTGACTTTCGATTTCTTATTGGATCTCAGAAACATACAGGCGATCTTTGCTTTGACCTCCTCTCCTAAGGGCTAGATCTTTGCTTTGACCTCCTCTCGTAAGGGCTATGGTCTCCTGGGCTTTCTCTCCATCCATCAGCCTCATTTTCCAGGCTCACGTATACCGTCTTCCAACGTCAGCCCTATGGAGATGAGGCCAGGTTGAGGGAGTAAAAAGGCTCGTGCTTACTGCAGGGCTTAATGATATTTTGTCCAAATTGCAGGATTCCTTCCCAGTCTTGCATGTACAGGCAGACCGCACGGCCTGGCACATCACGTGCAGCACGTTTATGTGACTGTCTTTGAACACGCAGCTCCTCTTCTCCTGGCTGAGCTCGCTGATCTCTACCAGTTCACTGGGGTACTTATACTGCTGGGCCCTGAATAATGTTCCTTGCATCTTTGACCATGTCACAGATGGCTTCCACCTTCAAGGGGCCAGTGAGCTTCTGGATGTTCACCTTGGCCTTATCCTTTGCTTTTGGTGGTACACTCTGGCACTCAGAGGCAAAGAAGTAGGGATCTCTTAACTGGTCATTTCTATCTTCTGTTGGAAACAGGAGATCACTGCACCGCTGATAAACACCTCCTCTCCTGGGTTGACTTCCTATGCAGCGCTTGCTTCTGCCAGGGTCCCCTCATAGGTCGCAATCACATTGGGGTCAACAGCTATGGTTCCCGATGCAACACTAGGAAACATTGCCGATCCCAAATGAGAGAGTGCTTCATCTTCCATTGTAAAGCCATTACGGTGAACTTGTGCAAAAAGCACCCCTGGGCTTGGAGGAAAAGTGATGGAGAGGGGCTCTGTCGTTCTGCATCAAGGTCTTCTTCTCATTGTCTGACTTATCCAGATGTGACTCAAACCCTTCCCAGCGAGCATTTTCTTGGATGGTGTTCTGTCTGGGTGGATTTTCTGCTTGGCTACCATCCTTGCTGTGAGCCTGACAGCCTCGGAAGGATTCCAGTTTTCCCAAAAAACAACCACGGGGAGAACACTCCAACTTGTGCACGGGCCAGTCTTCTTCCTGACACTTGCCTGCTTGCATCTTCCACACCTGGACAGTCCTTCTTTCTTGGTGAAGCTGTGCTCACACAGTGGCTGTTGCTCCCACGGACCATGAGCACGTAGGGGTGGGCTGAGCGAGGAGAAGAGCCTGGAGAGCAGGCTGCAGGGTCCACAGCCCCCGGCCCTTGCTCGGGCAGCCAAACCTCTCCGGGCCACCATCACGCTCTGCCTACATGGTGGCAGTGAGGTGGGTGGTTTGCAGGCTGGGCAGCTGCAAAGGGGCACTGGGTTCCAGCTGTCCCAGGAGCCGTGTTTCCCCTGGAGAGAGCCCAAACCAGACTTGTGCTATTGAGTGGATCCAACTCAGTGATCCCAAAAGGAAGAACTCAAGGTTTTCCAACAGATGCATTCTGATTGAACAGGTTGGAAGCCCAGGTAGAACTCCCATGGAGTTTCCCAGGCTATCGTCTCTACAGCAAAATCTGTCACCTCTTTCATTGGGTAATGAGCTGAATATGTCACCACCACAATTCTCTAACTAAACTCAACCCCAAAGCAAACCCACCGCCAGAGTCAATTCCAACTCATAGCGACCCTATATGAATCTTTATCAAAACAGGCAGCCTCATCTTTATACCAGCCAAGTGGCTGGTGGGTTTGAACCACTGAACTTGCAATTGGGAAACCACAGAGCCACCAGGACCTTTACATTACATGTTATTATATAGACGATGTCAACTTTAAATTTTAATATAGTTATAATCTTAAGATACTTCTATTGAGACGCTTCCCATGTCTTTATTCATCACCAGGGGCATGGCTGGAGTCCCTTAAATCATTTCCCAGAGCGCACCATCTTCACTTTGACCTCTGTGTTTAACTCGATCCACGGTGTTGTCCCTGGAAATGTTATTCCCGGTCATAAGCACCCAATCACATTACAACATTCGTTCTGTAATCACAATCACTTACCATATTGCTTTTTCTAGTGACGTTTAGAGAGTTGATTACAAGGACATCCAACACTTGCCAACAGGGAAGGTGTTTCCCTATAGGATTACCAGATCTGTGTTCAACGCCTTTGGTTCCTTTGTTACCAACTTTGTCAGGTAGTCTCTATATGAACATTGAATGAGACTATTTCATGCTAATGCATATCCCCCTCCCCCCAAAAGCATTTTATTATTCAAAATAAAGGACCGGAGAGAGAAATCCAGTCACCCAAAGGGCTTTTTAAGAGTAAGAATATATTCTTAAGGTGACTTTTTTCCCTTCCTGAGGGATGATTGAGGGGGAAGTGGGCTTCTGTTCAATATTTACAGTGATGCCAACAATGTTTGAGATGGCCCAAGGAGAATGTAAGGTGAAGGAGGAGGACTAGGCCAAAACGGGGAACACCCACCCAGGTAAGGCATAGAAAATGAGGAGCTTGCCCAGAAAGCAGCAGATAAGAACAAGAAGGGCACCAGGATCAGGTGGTATTTCACAAGCCAAGGGAAGAAAGTGTTTCAGGAATGCAGGAGTGTTCAACACCTGCTGCTCAGAGGTCAGGTCAGGTAAGGTCTGGGAAGCATTCCTTGGCATTAGCGATAAGGTGGTCAGGGGCAACCTCAGCAAGAGCAATTGCCACAGAAGAGTGAAGCAGCCTGATTGCTGTGGCGTGCCACCGGGTTTGGACAACCTCTTTGAGACGTTCACCTATCAGGGGAAGAAAGAGGTGGGAGCCTAGAGTGGATTCTGCAAAGAGAGTGGGTTGGAATGGTGAGAGGAGGAGCCACTGAAGAGGGGAGTGTTGCAGAATCGAGAGAGAAAGAGAGAGAGAGAGAGAGAGAGAGAGAGGCATAATGGATGGCTGCAGAAACCTAGGAGCAGATAATTTGGCAGCCGTAATTCAGCAAAGCCCATGATTATCGGACCTCAGTAGTCTCCTGAAACTGGCAAGAGGCAAAAGGACTTCACAGAACAGAGTTACACCCTGGCCCTGTGGTTGGCAGGGAGCTCGCAACTGTATTTAGGCGTGTTTCTTTCTGACAGCACCTGAATGAAGACTTTAAGGAAGGAGCAACATCCTGACCTTGTGAACTAGACTGTCCTCAGAGGAGACGCCATTGGGTCCCAGCTGATGGCGATGATGAAAACAAGGCCACCCAACTTTCCAGCAACAGCAGTTTGTTTTCATGTTGCAAGTGACAGAAACTCAACACAAAACACAACGTAAAGCTGAAATTTTACAGGAAGGAGAGGGAATTTGAGGATATGGGTTCAGCTGGGCAAGAATAGGACCAGAAGTTAAAACCCCAAACCCGAACCTACTGCCAGAGTTGATTCAGACTCAGAGCCATCCCATAGAGCGGTGGTTCTCAACCTTCCTAATGCCGCGACCCTTTCATACAATTCCTGATGTGGTGGTGACCCCTCAACCATAAAATTATTTTCGTTGCTACTTCGTCACTGTAATTTTGCTACTGTTATGTATCAGGCAACCCCTGTGGAAGGGTCATTCAATCCCCAAAGGGGTCGCAACCCCCAGGTTGAGAACCACTGCCATATAGGGTTTCCAAGACTCTATATTTTTTACAGGCGCAGCCAGCCTCATCTTTCTTCCTCAGAGCAGCTGGTAGGTTTGAACTACCAACTTACAATTAGCAGTCTAAAATACAGCACCACTGAGGTTCCTGTCTTAGAGTTCTCTAGAAAAGAAAAACCAGTGAGGCTTACACACACACACCACACACGGAGGTACCCCATGAAAATATTTTTTTCAAAGCTATGTATTTAAATTTTTTTTACAAAACAACTTTATCACCTTCAAAGTAGTCTCCATTACACTTAATGCATTTGTCAAATCTGCAATTCTATTCACAGAAACCTTTTTCAAACGTATCTATTTGGATGGCACCTCCCTCATTTTTTCTTCACCTCTTCTACGTTGTCAGATATCTGTCTTTTCATGTCCTTCTTCATTCAAGGACACAAAAAGGAGTTACACAGAGTGAGGTCAGATGAGTAAGGTGTGTGGGGCAAGAGAGGTATACTGGGTTTTTTTGCTCCCCAAAAGCACACGGAGATGGCAGCATGAGCAGGTGCACTGTCATGGTGGCAAAACCAGTCCCCGCTGCCACAAATCAGGTCTTTTTTATCACACACTGTTATGCTATCTTTCCAAACCTCTAACAGTCTGATCTGATGGAACAAACTCCACATGCACCACTCATATATTTGAGTTTTTTTCCCCAGAGTTTTTTTTTCTCATAGTGCTGTCTTTTTAAGCTTTGTTCAACATCACAACAGTTTCTGTGGAATTTCCTGAGCAGGAAACAATATTTCACAGCTGCATGCTGTTCTCTTAAATTGGCCATCACAAAAAATGAGGTTTGAGCAAAACTGCTTTTATGAAAAATTCACTGTGACCAGAGAGAACCTTACCAGGTGACGCCACTGAGTGCACTAACTCAGAGCAAGTTGCTTGATGCTTGCCTAGCTGGGGTGGGGTGGGGAATGCATACTACAAAAGCTCCGCTCCACCCTGAGCAATTCTGAGTTTTCTGGTACCCCCATATATAGAGATTTATATTAAAAATGGCTCACACAGTTGCAGAAGAGGGACAAACTATTGGTTCAAGCCCAAAGAACCAAAAAATAATGACCCAGGTGCAGAAATCAGAAGCAGCAAAAAACAAGCAGGCTAGTCCACGAGTGCCTGCTTATATTGGAAGCAGTGCACACTCCACCCTTCACCCCCAGGAAACATCGTTTCAATTGATTGCATCAGGGCTGTGATCTGAGTAAGATGCATTCTACCTTAAACTTCTTATGCCTCATTGGCTGCTCACAGCAGATCCATTATGGAGATTCTTACATTATATTAGGTCACATCGTGGAAGATTACTAGGTGGCTGCCAAGCCAGTGAGACTCTTGGCCCAGCCAAGTTGACATAGAATCTATCACAACTACTTAGAACCAGAAGTTGGAGTCCATCAAAGAAGCCAGAACATCCTCTTTTGGAGAATTCCTTGTTGCTACATCTCTCTGAGTCTGCCTCAGCTTCACTCTGGCTGTAGGATGACCTCCTCTGTGACCTAGGTCACATGGCAAA